GATAGAGGAGGAAGAGCAGGGGACGCTGTCCTCATACAGAGAGGGATAGAGGAGGAAGAGCAGGGGACGCTGTCCTCATACAGAGAGAGATAGAGAAGGAAGAGCTGGGGACGCTCAGGCCTCCTCAGGCCAGCGTGCGATCTGAGGTCTCTGCTCCCGGGTCTCCGGCTGTGCCGTTCGCCGGTCCTGAGGAGGATGGAGCTCGGCCAGAGGCTTGGGAGAGACGCCTCAGTGCAGCAGATCCGAGATCCGGCTTCACCTTCCCCAGGGTTTTCTTTCCGTGTCGTCCCGGCTTGCAGGCATCTTTCCGCAGGGAGGAAATGAAAGACTTTTGGCACCCGCCTCTCTCTGACCCCCCCCTCCGTCCTCCTTCCAGCAGTCTATTAACCTTCGACCCCGCGCGGGGAGCGTAGCCGATCCTCCTGTCACATGGAATTACCTGCTTCAAAGAGACACGAGCAGGAGACGCAGATATTTCAATCTGGAGCTCAAAACCCCCCCCGCCCCCCCCCGGCTCCCCGGCTCGCCCGCTCCCAGCCTCTTTTTACACGATGCCCTCACGTTCTCATGCAGTCCTGCCCCGTTTCGGGCTGTCATCGTTTTGTACATCGTCTCTTGCTGTTTCTCTGAAACCCCATGCCGAACGTGCGTCAGCAGGGGGAGCCGAACCTGACCCCCAGAGGGGTTAGACAGAGGCGTCGGACCCGTCCAGGGGTTCCGGAGTCGGGCCCGAGGGCCGATGGGAGTCAGGAAGCCGGAGGGCGTCAGCCGCTCGCCCGGTGTCAGGCGGGTGGCGGGTGGCAGGTGGCGGGTGCAGGAGCACAGCACCCAGGCTCTGAAGGGGACTGTGTGCGGAGGCTGGGGTGGGTGGGGTCTCTGAGCTGGCAGTGCCAACCTCTACACCCGCCAACACAGAGCCCCCCAGCGCAGAAACTCCCCCCCCCCACCCCGAGGGGGTGCAGGTTTCCACAGCATGCACGAGAGCCGGGCTGTGAAATTCCGGGAATTTGCTGGGACGCTCACAGTTCCCGTAGGGAGAGAGCGAGATCGGAGCTGGCAGGCAATTCGGCAGGAGAGGGAATGCAGAAGATATCGGCTGAACTACCCCATCCTCACCCCCCCCCCCTTCCACCCACCGCCTCCTCATCCCGAGATCATTCCAGGCAGCTGGCGGTTTTCCTTACATCCTGGAAAAAGGAAAGGTTTGCCTGTCACCGTTTTAATGAAGTGTTTCCCTGTGGCGTGTTAACCAGGAGATTTAGTGGGCTAATGATAAAATAGGCCACGCTTGTCAGCACCTTGTTTCTCCAGGAAAAAAACCCACAGGATATGTGAAATGGTAAGAAAAGAAACTTGAGTTGAACACAGTGCCGCCTGGTGACCCGGCTGGAGCTCGGGATGAAGCCGTTATCATCAGGAATCCCCAGGTCAATTTGCATGGCAGTATCATTAGTAATAGTAATTAGTGACGATGCATCATACTGTGTTGCTTTGGCTCATCTTTACCCTGTGTTTCAGTCATTCTTCACCATATCTCTCTGGCCATGCTTGTGCTGGGGTGAGTCACAGTGAGATTTTGTAGCCCCAGTGGCTATTCGACAGACTGGGAAAGGTGAGGCAGTCCTACAGTTATCTTTGATGTCATTTAAGGAGCTTGAGATCAATTGAATCGAGCCGGCAGCAGGCGGCTTCAGTATTTTTTTTTTCCAGGGGAAGCAGGTGAAATGCTCTTGAAGGTTTTGTGCAACTGAAGGTCTGAGCCGTGCGGTTTTAGATGTAGTGTAATTTATAAGTCAGGGACTGGGGAGTGACTGTGAGTGCTCACCAGGCAGATGAGTAACTACCCCAGCTAGGCTCTTCATCATTCCAGTGTCTCCTGTCTCCCTGTTGCTGTCTCCTGGCCGCTGTGCGGTACGTCTCTGTCTTGTCTTGGTGTTTGCCTCCCCTGCACTGTCTCTCCCCTGCGGGGGTTTTGCTAGCTACTGGATTGGCACTGTCTCTAGATTTTCTTGGAAGACATTAGCGTTTTTATCATTTTGTCCCTTTTTTAGTGTGTTTTCCCAGTGCAGCTGCGGAACATTTCTTTGCTTTTTGTTGTCTGTGCTTGGACCTTTGCCAGCAAAGACTGGCTGAACAATCTGTCGCAGGCACCCACCACTCTCGGTGAAAGGGAGCCTCCTTTTTGCAGCTGTTCTTTCTTACGCTTCTGTGGAGTTTGATCTGATGCATGATCAGAGCTCCCATTCCTCCACGAGCACAGCTGCAAACTCCACAGAGGCAGACAGTGTAGCTTCCAGACACCAGTGCTGCCCAGAGTTTGTCATAACAGACTGATTGCTGAGGCATTTCTCAGGCCCTCCCCTCGCACTGCAACTAATAAAAACTTCTACAAACACAACACTGCTGCACTCTGAATGCTGAAATCCTTCCAGAACCCGGTGGCACTTGCTTTTCAGAGTTTTTTCAGAAAGCTTTCAAATTGTACCTGCACCCTGTCTTACATGGCAGGTGGTACCATACAGAAGCTACGGTTTTGTTCATCACTCACTGAAGCAGTGTGGAACTGGTGGTTAGGGATGTAGACTTTTAACTGGAAGGTTGTGGGTTCGAATCCTGGGTGGCGTGCTGCTATTGTTGATCTTCAGCAAAGTCCTTCCCTTGACTAGCTTCAAAAAAATGTCCCAACTGTACAGGTACAAAGGCCACTTGAATTAATGATATTGCAATATTGGGATACCTACCCAGTGCTTCTGAAATCAGTTCACCTCGTTAGCTTTAGATTTGTCTTACAGACAATTTGTTTTGATCATTTTTTTAGATCTAATCCATATATGAGTGGCCTTGTGAGGTCAGGATATTTTCCAGGAAAAGAAATAGTCCAAGCCACGCACGCCCCTGAGAAGGAACCTTGGCACTCCTGGATCTTGAAGAGTGATTATCACACCCCTCAAGCGAGTGTGCGGAACCTGTGTAATTGTTGCAGGCTGGCCAGTTGTTTGGGAAGGAGCTCTGATAGACTAGAAGATCACGAACCCTGTGCTGTTCCCTGCCTTGCGCTGAACTGTTGCAGCTGTGATATACTGGTTTATGGTTGCCCGTTGGCACAAACTGCAGTCTGCTCTTAATGCTTTCTTTATTTTTAATGGCTCGCCTGTGACGGTGTGCAGAGGCAGCGCGACTGGGCGCACCTCGGAGATTTACGGGCTGCGTGCCCTCGAGCAGCTCGGCAAATTATTCTCCAGCTCCTCCCAGGCTCTGTGATCATATGATCGAGCATCTGGCAGCGCTCTCTGCTCTGATATTTAACTGCTTTTAATTATTATAATTGCCAAGTTAACGGCACCATCTATCCACTTAAACTCTCTCTTCTTTAACGGGGGCTTCCATTAAGAGACGTACTCTGTCCCCGTCTCTCTCGTGCTGGCCATATGGTTCCTAAATCATATCCGCCAGAGACTGCAATAAAACCTCGGCACGAGGAAAACATTTTCTTCTTCTTTGTTTTGGTTTGTTTTTTCACCTCGGCCCCTAGTTGTCTGTCTGGAGAGGGACAGTGGTCCTGTCGTACTTTGAACCTCCCCTCTGTTTCCAGCTTCCTGTCGGGAGCGCAGCCGTTTTTAAAGCCTGAGGTGTTTCAGCGAGCAGGTGAGCACCTGGCAGTGGCTTGGTGAGGGGGCGGCGATTGCTGACGTCGGGGGCATCACCCGATCCGGCCGCCCTGGTTTTGAGGGGTGGCGTCGACGGCAACGCTGCCAGAGCTGCCCGCAGCCCGGTCCTTCACAACCTGTGCGCATCTGGCCAGCTGTGAACGGAGACCGGCGGGGGGGGGCCTGGTACCACGCCCACAGCCCGCAGAGTGACAGAGACCCGCGTCTCTGTGTGCCCGTGCCCGCTGTCCGGCCTGGCAGTGTGCGGGCACCCCGAGCCTGGCCGGTCCAAAAGGGGGGGGAGGTCTCTCCCAGCTGGGCGTGCCCACACTGGGGGCGAACATGGACAGCTGGCGGTGCCTGCCCAGGAGCGTGTGACAGTGAAGAGAAGAACTGGCTGGGCCACCGATGACGGTGTAGGGAGCTCTTACTGGCCGTGGTTGAGAGGTCCCCTGTCCTGTCTGTGTCTTTCAGGAGTACCTGGATGTGCTGGGACGTCCCATGGTGCTGGCGGGGAACAAAGCAAAGCAGGTCCAGTGGACCAACGTCTACCAGGACGCCTTGGTAGGACGAGACTCAAGTTTGTTTTTTTCAAAGCACCCCCCCACCCCCCAAGAAAAAGCAAGTTATGGCCCGGTGTCCTAGTTTCATTGCTCTTCCTGTTCGGGAGTGGGGGACGCACGATGTGCTCATTGCGCTGGCTCTAAAAATAAGCTTCTCTTTTGGGTTGTGCTTGCAGGGTCTGGGGCTGGTGGTGACCGGGACGATGCCCGTCTTCAACCTGACCGTGGAAGGCAAGTCGCAGGTAAAGAGAGAGCTCTGATAATTGACTGTCGTGAGTTGGAAACCTTTTTTTTTTTCCTGCCGTGAATGACTTTGTTGATATCCGGGAAGGTGAATTTTGAGGAAGGACTATGAGGTCAACAACCCAGCCTCTCCTCCTCGTTCTCCACATGTTTTGTGTGCCGCATGTCTGTTAAAACCAATTCTTAGTTGGCTTGTAAATTGGCGTGTACATCGCCAAGCCCTTTTCACCCTCTCCTTCGGTAAAGGCAGCTCAGTGCAGTTCGCCTGTGCTTCTGCTCGTCTGGCACTGTTGGCTGTGCCTGTTCCAGCTCGCCGGTCCTTTTCTGGAGCAATACTGACCCCTGGTGGCAAGGAAGCCGCATTGACAAGGGTTTTTTTTTTTTTAGATCTTTCCAGTTGGCAGTGAAATAATGGTTTTAATTAAGAAAGACTGTCAACACGTATGTGTTTGTTTATTCATTAGAAACAAATAATTACTGTAGAAAATATTGTGCCATGCTGTTTCTTAGCAGCAGGGCCTGCAAAAAACGAGGCGCCAGCCTAGAAAGTGCTTTTTGAGCCATCCGCTGAGTGCTCCGCGACCGGCGAGCTCTGATGCGGCCCGGCGCCCGCGCCGCTCGCTGGCGGGTCACCCCCTGAGGCTCCGTCCTCAGGACGGCGAGGTGGCGTTCGAGCGGAGGACCTGCCGAAGAGCGCGGAGTGCACACTTTGGCCGTGTGCCGCCATGGGCTGGCGTCCCGCCCGGGGGCACCCCTCTTTGCGCCCCACTGCTGGCTGGGACGGGCTCCGGCTCCCCCCCGCGACCCTGAATGGGATAAAAGCAGTTGGAAAAATGGATGGAAGTGGCAAAGTTCTGAACTGGAATTTGCGAAGCTGGGAGGGGAGCTCACTAAATCTGCTGCAATTTACCCACACACATGCACACACACACACAT